CTGATGACTTACTTAGTAATTTATTACTAAGCTTCTAGATTATTTACTTTACTAAAGAAAATCTCCCTCTTTGTATTTTGAACCAAGCAAATCCATGTTTTAATGTATATTTTTAATACCAAGTGTTTCCAAAACTGGGGAGAGGAAGTAGTGCACTCCATGTCTGGTAGGTGTTCCAGGGCTAGGGGGACATGTCTTCAGAATCCCAGAGGTGACTGAGTTTGGGCACTTGGAAACACAGCTGTTCTCTTGAGATCATTGTTTAGAATTTTTGTTTTCTCCATGTACTGTCTCTCTTTCCTCTCCTCCAGTGAAGAAAGAAAAAAATGAAATTACAGAGCTAGAAAAAAATTTTTTTTCTGTTGAAGAGGGTTATGGGGACATGTGTTTCCCTCAGGTCTGCTCTGCCTGTCTTATGGAGGAACTTGACCTGTGCGCCTTGTCAGCTGAGTTGGCCACTTTCTCATGTGCTCCCAGCGGCACTCAGCAGCTACTGTGTTTAGGGTTTCCCTCACTCCATTTCCTGGCATGGTCTGTAACCTAAGAAGAAACCCAACAGCCAGGTGGGTTTCTTCCCTGGTGAGATGCAGCTGGTGCCTGTGGGTTTCTTTTGGGCTTTGAGAAAAGAGGGGATTGGCATCTGGTAGGGGACAGCGCATTGATGGGACCCAGGAGAACGGGGACAAGGTAGGCAGGGAAATGGCTGTGTCAGGTTAGAAAGGACAGTAACTCTAGCCTGGCTGCTGCAGTCTCTTGCAAGGAGAGGCTGGGAGATGGCAGCACTCAAGAGAGGCATACATGCAGCCTCCTCTAGTCTCTTCGGTTATGTCCCCCAAAACCTGCCTTCCAGACTGGTGCCTTCCCTCTAGGATTCAGGGGAACTAGATCATGATGGCACTCAGGAAGTATGCAATCATGGAATAACTTCTCTTGTCACTCGTGTCTTTTAGGTGCTGACTGCTCTTGAATCCATGACCCTCAGTAAGCAGTATGTGGAGTACCAGGATCAAATACTGCAAGCTGTCCAGTTCATAAAGCATCCTGGCCATTGCCTTCAGAATGGGAAAAGCTTGCTGGCTCTTCTTGTCAACTGTCTCTATCCAGAAGTGCATTATTTGGACAACATACGATAGTGATGCTGAAGCCCTTGAAGCCCTGTTGCTCTTGTGTTTACACTAACTTTGCTGTTGCACATGTACCTTTGTTCAGTTTTACTGCAGAGCTGTGAGGAACTCAGCTGAGGTGCAAGTTGAGAGGCATTAGATAGTTCTGGCTGTATGGCTATCTCTTATTGTCCAGAGACTTGTTAGTTTTTGTGTTCTTCCACAAGTGAAACTCAGTTCCTCTGAGTACAGAGCCACTCACATTTGGGAAATGAATGTGCCAGTCAACTCCCTAAGAACTATGGATAGAGCTTTTGATATGTCTGCACTTCTGTCTTCCTGCTTTATTTAAATGTCAAGACTCCTATGCCAGATCTGACCACTTTGGGAGTCATGAAGAGCCATCTTTTGGACTCCATTTGTATTTTTCACATTCTTCCAATGTTAAAAAAAAAAAATCAACTTGGGAAATTTCTGTATTTCTTAAATGTGAGGAAGTACACCAGCTTAGAGGTATTATGTTGTTTCTCTTAGAGTGGTTATGGTACCCTGAATCGAATCAGGAACAGTGGTGCACGCCTGTAATCTCAGCACTCTGGGGGCTGAAGCAGGAGGATCACAAGGGTGAAGTCGTGTTGGGTGCATAGCAAGTGTCTGGACAAGCAAAGCAAATCAATTAAAATGAGTCATACTGAAGACATGCCATGTAACCCTGACCACAGTGGACATCTTTTCAACTGCATGTTCTCTGGAAGTGTGCCTTTCAGAACCGATGTGGCACCCAGTGCACTGACAGCTGCTGTGCACAGGTGTGTAGTGGGCACACAACAACAGTGATGCTGCAACCGGCGAGCACTGTGTTCCCTTGGGGCTCCTCATTCACGTCATTTTATTGGCTCTGTCTGTGTGGAAGTTCCCAACTCTTGATATGTGCCAGAGCTCTCTGCAGGCCCACTCTCAAGGGACACTGGGGGTCTTTGTTTGTTTTCTCTTGGGTAAGTTTGGGTGAAACTCATGGACATGTTGAACACATAGCCAGGGAGAAGAGGCCAGGTCAGGGCAATTTCAGAAATCTGGCTTTTTGCAAGTAGCTCTGTGCCTTCTGTCACTGCTGACAGTCCGCATTGCCAAAACCTGTCTGACACATTGCTTTGTTCTTATGACATCTCTTGCTCATGTCACTTCATGCAGGAGTTAGAAATTTGACTTCTATCATATTAATTCTCAAAAATGGCCCCAAACCAATTTTGTTTGTTCAGTTTAAAATATATCTTTGTTCTTATGGGTCATGGCTCAGAAATATCTATAAAAATCTCTGGATGGCCACCAAGCGCCTTGAGTAAGGATGGGAATAGCCTGTTAGTGGGCTGCTTTCCCTTCGTTGGACGCTTGCAGGAACTTTTTCTGGAAGAATAACTCTGCCTAGTTGACATGCCTTGGAACACTGATAAAGATCATCCCTATTCAGTGGCACAAAGTGTCATTGTATAGGGATATGTCTCAGCCTTCTTTGTTTTTGCTTCTCTCTGTCTCCCAAATCAGTCATCTTCACTCTGAGTAGAAGAAAACTTCAGAAGCTGCAGACAGTTAAACAAGCAGTAGTGATTCTGTGACCAGGAAATACTGTGCTTGTGTGATTTTTCTGAGGAGAACGAAGTTACCAGTATCCGAGAATGTGAAATGTTAGAGTGTACATTTTAGAGAATCAATTAATTTTGGAAGTTTATAATATTTGTAAATTTTGTCTGTAAAATGTATAAACAATAAAATCAACTTTTGATTATAATTGGTGAATCTGAATTGAAGGCTAATGTAGATTTTTTATGCCTGATTAAATATGTTTGGCTTTGTAACTGGTCAGTACAAGTGTTGCTTTTTCATCGTTGCTTAACATCTGAAAGCTATTTGCCTCAGATTCTATGAGAAGCACTAGGTTAAGTGCTTTAAAAATATTAAATAATGCAGAACAAAGAAAGCTGCCTGCAGACAGGCTGGCTTGCTGCCTGAAGGATGAACAAGGCTTTCCTAGGACAATGGTTAGCTTTCAGAGTGCAAAGCCATGGTACCAGAGACAGCAATGAGCACTTGACTTCCTTCTCAACACACAAAACCAAGGCTTGAGCAGTGCGGAAGGTGGACCATAACAGGCTTAGAGCCTACTGCATCATGACATCTAGTGCTTTCCAGGAACAGAAGGGAGGTTTTGGTCTCCATGGAAGTGCCTCTGCCTCTCCAGTCATCGCTCCCCTCCTCAGAGTGCACATGTGGGGCAGAGATGTTGCTTTGACCCTCCATCTCCTTGCTCGTGAAGGCAGAGGCCGTACCTGCAGAGAGGTCCTGTGGCTGTCAGTACAGTGTGATCGTGGCTGTGACACATGTATTTGTGGCTGTACACATTTCTAAAGTTCTTACACACTTGACCTTGCCTCTAAACATGACTGGTGTCTTGTTGATTAAGCATCCATCTCTCCTGGATAGTGCCCAAGTCTTTTGGTTCTTAGGTGTCAGATGTGAAGTGTACACACTCCACTAACGCCAACCAGTCTAGGCTCTGGTGTGCCTAAGCTTTGTCTGAATCAAAGTGCTGATACTGGTTTTCATTTATTCAAAAAAATTCCTTCTGAAGTGGAAGCCAATGTCTAGAATCATGGATAGAATGAGGGCACATTAAATACTTCAATCTCTTAAGTGGAGACCCTCAACTTCTCTACCTGGCCAGCGTCTTGGAGCTCACAGCTAGCCCAGCCTCAGCTATGCCAGGGCTCTCTCTGGTTCTGCTTGTCTTGAGCCAGAACTGTTCCTGGTGTCCTTGCCTGTTGATTGTGGATCTGCCTGGAACAACCAGGCAGGACCTGTTCTCTTTCTCTAAGTATACCTTGAGACATTTCCACTTGTCACATCTCTAAACTCTTCTGCCCCTACTACCCCTTAGTCCTCTCTAGGTTACACGCCCAGAATTCTTCGTATTCTTCAAACATGATACCCAATAAAACTGCTTTGGGGCAAAGTGCCCAAATCAGTGCACACTGCTGTCTGTGCCAAGGATTAGCAGCATTTCAGCCAGCATTCGCAGGTGCAGAGAGACAACACACCTTTGCCTTTCTTGTATTTGGTGCTTTTTCCACCTTATCCTAGTCCCTGCTCCAGAGTTGTCACACTCCTTTAGGCCAGGCAGTGCAAATCCCTCTAATACCTACTTGGGCAGTATCAGCTCCCATTGTGTTCTGTGGTTGGCATGTTAACATAGCACTGAGTTAAATGGCAGACCCCTTTAAGTAACAGTCAGTGCCCAATGATCAGGCTCTTTGAACTTCATCCTGTAGTACATCCTGAACACCATCCCTGTTCTTTAGTTTGAGCTAACTTCACAGCTTACTTTGAGGTAGTAGCTGAACATGGTAGGTGAGGCGCTTGACTTAGAGCTGGGCCCTGAACAGATTCCTCAGCTCCACCAGGACACTCCCGCTTTAGAGCACACAAGGGGTCATGTGACCAGGGACAGGCCCCATGCTTTTTTAGTGTCCTTCATTCTGCACAGGTCCCTCATTCTCATTCCTCTTGAGAATAACTTGAAAAAAATTGGTGCTACTCCTGTTTCAGTACTGAAAGTGGTAAGGAATGCTGGTTCTAACCTATTTTTAGTGTATCATGTAATACCACTGAGCACTGAGGATACTTCTTTCAGTGGTTTAAGACCATCTCTATTGGAGGTCAGTACTGACAGTCCTGTTGGCCTGTCTAGTGTGACCTTTAAAACCACAGATTTATTTTGGTCATTAACTCTGACATATTTACTTCTTACTCATTGTTGAATATTTTCCATGCTTGTATGAAGGACACATTTTTGTATAATGGTGAGAAACTGGAAGACGTGAGAATTAGTTAAGTGAAATTCTGTAAATAAAGGACATTGTGATTTATCCATGCTGAGCCTGTCCCATTGTTTTCAGCAAGTTGGTTGGCAGGCCTTTAAAACATAAATCACATTAACAGAACTTTTAAGTTAGTTGATTTGTGATGTTGAGAATCTTTTTTTAAAAAAACTTCGTTACAATGCTAAGACCTCTAGTTTCAAAGAGAAAATTTGTGTGTTGGGGGTTTGGTGGTTAAGTATTAGTATGTATGGGGGAGGCCATCAGATACAAGAGTTCTTGATAGCTGAAACAGCTGTAAGGTTGCCTTGACCCCTGCAGGAGGAGGGCCTTGACCCCCACAGGATGAGAGTCTTGCAGTTGAACAAAGGCTCACAAGGTACCTGATGAACAGAAATGTTTGAGGTGCTGAGAGGCAAGGGTGTCTGGCAGAGCCCAACCTGGATTTGCTCAGGGTCTGCCTTGGAAATCTGCCTTTGGTGTTGATGTGCCACAGTTCCTGCTTAGCCTGAGGTTTGTGGACACTAAAGGTAGATTTGGAATCCCCCAAGCTGTGGATAGATATTGTAGATTGTTAGTTAAAGATGTGTTACATTTGTTGATGCTATGGGATATTTAATGATGCAAAGATGTGTTGCATTCATTTGTGTTCATTTGTTTAACTCTGTAAAGCTGTGTTACTTTGCTTGCCTAAAATACCTGATTGGTCTAATAAAGAGCTGAACAGGCCAATAGCTAGGCAGGAAAGGTGGGGCTGCCAGGCAGAGAGATTAAAAAGGAGGAGAGTCTAGGGAAGGGAATGAGGAGCCAAAAAACGGAGGAGAGGAGGACATCAGGTGTCAGCCCACAGCCACCCAGCCACCCAGCCAGCCACAGAGTAAGATGGAAAGAAACATATATAGAAAAAAGAAAGCTAAAAAGTCCAGAGACAAATGAAGTTAAGGAGAAACAGGATAATTTAAGTTAGAAAAGCTGGCTAGAAACAAGCAGTAATTCATATAATTCTCTTGGATATAAAAACAGTTGCTAATCCACATTGTAACCATGTCCCTATCTTTTCCCAAGGCTCTTGCTGGAGACGCACTAATGCTCCCCTCTGCAGGGAGGTCCAGATGTCAACTGTGATCTCTTAGCTGCTCTTGCTGGATCCTATATAACTTACAGATAGCTATGAGCTGTCATCACTCATTTGCCTTGGCTGAGGCTCTGGTACCAAGGAAAGCCTGGAAGCCCACTGCCCTCAAACTATAGAGATGGCCTCCAGAAAAATATGGTCTCTTTAGTCTCCTGTCTCGTGCTTACTTGGTCCCAAGTATACCTCTTCTTCAATAGGATCAGCAAATGAACACTGAAGTATAAATAAGGAAAGCACTTCTCTTGAGGCTAACCTGGCCACACTCGGACAAGTGGGGAGAAATTGCCAGTGCTCTTGGACTTTGCACATCCTAGGAGGGTTACCCTGCAGAGAGAGGTCAGAGCCACAGCTGCCTTATTCACTAGAACCTAGGGTCCCTTCAAGTCTCCCAGTTCTTGACATAAGGCTTTCGGATGCTTTGAGGCAATGGGTCTTCGGTTTCCTTCTCCTGGTGGGTCCCAGCTCAAAGCAGTGTGGATCAGCTGATATGATCACAGCTGAGCAGAGGGCTGTGGCAGTTACTGTGGAGATCTCAGGAGGCTCCAGGCCTCTTCTTGCTATCAAGTTTCCAGGCCTTGCTGTTCCTCTGAGCAGTTTGCACAGCTCTAGTCCCAGGCTTGTTCCCTGGAGTGCTTTGTTCCCCAAAGGCTGAGCAGGGCCACACTTATCTCAGTTCTGCATGTCCAAAGGCCCCATTCAGATCTACGGGTTCCTCAGTTCCTGACAAGCTGACCAGTCATGGAGCAGCTGCGTCTCAGAGATGTGAAGAAAGTGTCCTGTGGTGTCAGTCAGAGTAGGCTGGAACCTGGATCTCCATTCTTTATGGCTAGTTTCCTGTCTGCTTTACTATAGTTCTAAGTAAGAAAAAAAAAGGGGGGGGCAGTTTTCCCAGAAGTTTCATGCTGAGGCTCAGGTGGATATACATATACATATACATATACATATACATATACATATACATATACATATACATCCAGGTTGTTGGCTCCACTGGCATAATACTGCAGGACTCTGAACCTCTGTGAGCAGGGTCCTGGATCCCCTAGAAGTTGCCTTGCCCACAGCTGCCAAGAAACCTGGGAATTAGGAGCTATACAGGTCTAGTCCAGTACTGTTCTTCATTTCTCATGGTGCATGATTGGATGGTGATGGCCAAGGATTTCCTCAGAGCAAAACCGTGGC